AAAAAAAAGTAAAATGGAAATAAATTGAAAATGTTATTTTAAGGCTATATAATTCTTAAAATAAAAAGGAAAAAGGAAAAAAGGAAAATTGAAAGGGATAAATTCCTGTTAATTAGTCGGACCTAAATTTTTATTTCTTGTGTTGGGGCGGTGGGTAAGGGTTAGTGCTTTCTTATTATTATCATCAGAGCTTGATTCCCAAATTTAAGCTCTGTTTTTCGATCATTGCCCAACCCCACGAACGAAAGAAACCATACCTAGAAAAAAGCCATCTGGGTTTCGTTTCTAATATTTGAACTATTACCACGCCATCAATCGCTGCGATTTGATTTGCAAATTCCATTCTTTTTCTTAGTTGAATCCGTAGGAGAGGTTGGATTTTTTTTCGTATCACCGGTGTTTCGGAGCAAAATCAGAATCTGGGTTGATGGCTAATCTCTATGTCAAGGCTATGCCTCCGGCGGATCTGAATAGGAACACGGAATGGTTTCTTTATCCTGGTGTTTGGACGACATATATTCTCATTTTGTTCTTCACTTGGCTTCTCGTTCTCTCTGTATTTGGCTGCTCTCCTGGAATGGCCTGGACCATCGTCAATCTATCTCATTTTGCTGTATGTGCATCGATTTTCTTTTTGATCTGGGTGTTGTTTCCTTCCCTTGATATCATCATTGGACGTTGGATTGTTGTTGACTTGTGGAATTCATTTTCGATTCTAGTGTGTGTTTTGTTTATGCTGCTTTAAGCCTCTTCAATTTGATCTTTCTGCGATTTCGTTTTCGTTGATTTTGTGAAAATGAATGAAGGATGGATAGCCCAACTGTTCTGGCTTTGTGTATTTCGTTTTCGTTGATTTTGTGAAAATGAATGAAGGATGGATAGCCCAACTGTTCTGGCTTTGTGTATTTGATTTTGGATTCATGCTTGGTTTGGTAATTATATGCTTATTGTACTTGCATGTAAGTAATTTTGATACGAAAGAGATTCTTTCTGTTCGAATTTTACTGTTTCATATGTTCATCTTTGGATTCTTGGTGCGGAGGGGTATTGTAGTAGATAAACATTCTAGTATCTTTGATTTCATAACCCTTTTCCGTGTTGTTTTATTTCAAGCCTCGAACCATTCATAGTCTTAGGCTGTTGTTTAATTTAATGGCACTAAAAGTTGTTTTATTTCAAGCCTCGAACCATTCATAGTCTTAGGCTGTTGTTTAATTTAATGGCACTAAAATTGTTTCTGGAAGACAAATGGGTGAAATATGATTAGAAATGGTTGAAAAGACCATAATTTTTTCAGCCTATGTTTGATGTATTGCCATACATGTTTTTATGTGTAAATGTGAATCTTTCTGGGTTAAGAGTCAGTGAACCGCGTTTGTAATTTTCTCGATGTGTGGTCCTAGCGATCAGCTTAGAATGATTTAGAACGTTCTTATGCTCCGTTATTTGAAGTTGATACGCGCTATGTCTTTGTATAAAATGATAGAAATGTGTGTGTCTTTTACTTCAGGTCACTTACCACTGCTTCCATTGGAAGAAAGGGACACCATTTGCTGAAGACCAAGGGATCTACAACAGATTGACATGGTGGGAGCAGATTGACAATGGAAAGCAGCTTACCCGCAACCGAAAATTCTTGACTGTTGTTCCTGTGGTGCTGTAAGTTATCTATTATATTACGAAACCTATGTACTACATAATTCTGAAATCAAATTTTAGACTGCTTTTATTTGAGTTGTTTTTTGTTGTTTTATTTTCCTGAACTCATGAATTTGAGTGAGACTTTTAAGGACATCTTACTCATACTCTACGTGTTTTTGACAGCCAATTTTTTCTATGTTGAGTGAGACTTTTAAGGACATCTTACTCATACTCTACGTGTTTTTGACAGCCAATTTTTTCTATGTTCTCTTCTATATTGTTGTGTGATATTTATCTGATGTGGATAAATCATCTTCATAGTTCTTATGATGATTGATTGGAGAGTTCTGTTGACTCAATGACCTCTTTTTTCTAACTCAAAATCTCCAGGCTTGTGATTCTAGGGATTATTACCTAAACTTACAAATTTTCTAGTTGGCGAACTTTAGAGCTATGGCAGTAGACGCTGATCTTAACAGCCTCTAAATGATAAGATGATGGTTGTTGCTGCAAAATTTTGAATACGATGACATTGGCACATTGTCGTATTTTCCTAGTGGCGGTGGAATACCAATCTAGGCCAAGAAAGCTGAACCAAACGAAGTTTGTGTTTTGTTTTGTTGGGCATTTTAACAGTTCTTATCATGAACTTGGCCTTCGTCGGATTTTTGCTTACTAATTTCATTTTTTGTCCCAGATCCAATCCATAAGTACGGATCCAGGGCCTTATAAATGTGTACCCTAGAACTTGAACATCAAACTTGTTGGAGTTTAATCAGTCTTAGCTACGGCATAAATTCGAAGTCTTACAAGTGGTAACTGGAAAGAACTATTGAACATGAACTTAGGGACAGACTGAGACGATTGAGAGATGACAATTGAATTGTGATCAAGGGAAAAGATGAGGGATGAGAAGGATAGTTCTTGAGTTGTACTACTTCGCTTATTAATATCATGGTGATCAAAGTACAGATCTCGTTATCCCAACTTGACACGATGTTCAACTTGCTACCATATGTAAGGCACCCTGAAAAGCCTGAGTATTGGGAGGGAGAGTTGCATCGTATCGTGGGTGGGCTCTATGAGGGAGAGTTTCTCGAAGCCTGAGTATTGGGAGGGAGAGTTGCATCGTATCGTGGGTGGGCTCTATGAGGGAGAGTTTCTCGACTTCTAATTAGAAATGAAAAAAAAAATGTCGAGCACCATGGGTGGGCTCTAGACTCTCTACTTAGAGTAGTGTTCTCGAGACATTTATAGATCTTTAGTTCCAAAGACCTCTAAAGTTGAGAATTGTCTTAGAGTAGTGTTCTCGAGACATTTATAGATCTTTAGTTCCAAAGACCTCTAAAGTTGAGAATTGTTGGAATCAGGAGAGATGTATCTGAATTTTCAATTTTGCTGGAACACGTTTGGATCGAAAGATCTATGAGTAGAATATTCGAGGTTTCTTTCATAACCAATAGGAGGATAATTTGGTGTGCATCTAGACTTGTCTAATGCTACATCTCACAACAGAAACATTCTTAATAGTTCTTTTGAATTCTTTCTCTTGAGGACATTGGTTCTACAGACATTATCCAAAGAAGGAAACGTCATTACTGTACTTTACGTAATTGTTGTTGTCTGTATTAGAGACTCGGAATCTCGAGATCTACTTTTCTTGCATTTTTCTTGACTTAAATCCTTACTGGGGTTCCTTTTGGACACATTTTCGAGATCTACTTTTCTTGCATTTTTCTTGACTTAAATCCTTACTGGGGTTCCTTTTGGACACATTTTCATTGCTCATTGGTGCGCTCCTCTTTCAGCTCTTTCAGGATTAACTCAGTTCTTATTATTTCAGCTCTTTCAGCTCTTTCGGAATCTCTATTATTTTTGAGTTTTCATTTTAGCTTCAGATTCATGGTTGCTCTTTTATACTGGTTTGACAT